TTAAAGAAAACATGAAAGTGAACACGATAAAAGACAAAACTTAGAAAGTAAACAAAAAAATTGCAAAACACCAATATTGTACAGAAAAGGAAAAGGTTTTCCTTCCCAGGCGTTAAGAAATGACAATTGGCATTTTCCATTTCCATCAAGAGAAATAAATGTTAAAACAATTTTAAGATTAATTTATTATTCCTTTATTAAAATTATCACATTATTATTATTTAACTATAATTATTAAACTTACTTATAGGTTTCTTCGAGTCAATGAGATCAACTGAATTTACCAAGAGGAGCCAATGCCACATGATTTTCAGAAGAGATAAAACCCAGTCTGTCAGCTAATTTATTAATCGCCTCTCATCGATGAAGATCCGAACCCTTTTGGGTCAAACCAGTTAACATCGGCAGACGACATTCTGAAAAAAAACCCCTAAAATCAAAAGGAAGTCGCCAACGAATGAAGCGTCGAAGAACAGATAAAGACTTCCGGTGATGAATGCAATTGCTGGTAGAAACGATCAAGGTGTAACGAGATCTCGCGGGAACACGTATCCTACCCACGAGAATTAGTTCGGCCGAAAGATCGGAGAAGCGAAGCAGAAGAAAAATCGTTAATTAATTAATTAAAAAAAAAAAAAAAGAAGTAAAAAGAGGAAATAATTATAGAAGGGACGCAATTAGAAAAACAAAACAGAAATACAGAGAATCGGTCGGGTTGGTGGAAGGTGGAGGGATGGTGGAGAAGAAGAACCCACGAAAAATACCAAACGTGATAAACATTTAAAAAGCAAATCCACCAACACGACGACGACCATCACCATCATCATGATCATTAGAAGAGAAAATAAAAATGGTGTTACATAAAATACTTTCGTTTTTCTTTATTTTAATTTCCCTGTTCTTTGAGGATTTCTGGTTCTTTTGCAACGTAATCATCAGATGAACCTAAAATAACTCTTCTTCTTCTTCTTCTTCTTCTTCTTCTTCTATTTCAAACTTGCCATTCTTTCTCTATTTTTTAATTTCTTATTATTCTTGTTCCATTTCCACTTTGATTTTTCCTTCTCTGTTATTCATTTCTTCTTTTTCTTCTTTTATTTCAAGCTTTCTTTTTCTTTATCGCTTTTTATTTCTTCTTCTTCTTCTTCTTCTTCCATTTCAACCTTGTTTTTTCATTTCTTCATCTATTTCAAGCTCGCATTTTCTTTATCACTTTTTATTTCTTCTTTTTCCTCTTTTTCTTCTTCTTCTTCCTTTTCAACCTTGTTTTTTCTCTTTTTCATTTCTTCTTTTTCTTCTTCTATTTCAAGCTCGCATTTTCTTTATCACTTTTTATTTCTTCTTTTTCCTCTTTTTCTTCTTCTTCTTCTTCTTCTTCTTCTTCAATTCAACTTTGATTTTTCTTTCTCTCTTTTTTATTTCTTCTTCTTCTGCCAAACATTCAGGGTATTTGTATCATTTCTGATTTCTTTTTCTTTTACTTTCATTCATTATCAAATTTAATTCCTCTTATGTCGCTCATTCACCATTTTTACCTCATTGTTTGTCTTCTTTATTTCCCGCCTTTTTTCTCAGCTTTCATCCTTATCAGCATCATCGTCGTAAATTCTCTTTCATAATCATCGTCACTATCAGACTTTAAAAAAAAAAAAAAATTTTTACCTTTTTTTTTTTCAAATGTTTTTATTCACCTTTCCTACTTGTTCCTTTTTTTTGTTTTTTTTTTTTTAAGTCAGCCATTTTAGGAACATTATTTTCGGTGTCTTTTATTTTAGTATTTCTTTTACATCTGTTTTTCCAGAAATATTTCTTTCTTTCTTTCTTTCTTTCTTTCTTTCTTTCTTTCTTTCTTTCTTTCTTATCTCTTATACTAATTATCTTCACATTTACTTTTCTCTTTTCTTTCTTACACTTCACTTTTTTTTTTACGTCTATTTGTGTCCACTTCAAATTGTATCCGTTGCGTAATTAAATTCCGAAATCATAATTATCTCTGGAAATAATCAATTGGTGCTTGTTCACGTCTTCGCCACAGAGAGAGAGAGAGAGATTGAGGTGGGGGGAGAAAGAAATATCTTTCGAACTCATTTGAAGAAAAGGAAACAAAAGATTCCAAAAGAAAGAAACCAACAACAACAACAAAAAAAACATTCTGCCAAAAAAAAAAAAAAAAAAAAATGTAAAAGATCTTGTTAGAAATCTTGAAACAATGCAAACATTTTGAAAAGAGTTTTTCGACCGACTTTAGTAGAAACGTTTTAATAATAACGTCAGGATGTTGAAAATAGAAAGAAAGAAAAAAGAAAGAAAGAAAGAAAAAGAAGAACGAAAGAAAAAAAAGAAAGAAACAGAAGAAAGAAAAAGAAAGAAAGAAAAACAGAAAGAAAAAGAAGAAAGAAAGAAAAAGAAGAAAGAAAGTCTTACACTTATAGAGATAAAGATTTATGTAGTTCGAAGATGGCATTGAAGTGTAAAGGTGACAGTCACCATACAGTGTTGATTCCCTTGTTCACAATGTCAATATCTATAAATATTCTTTCATATCGAGCACTCTCCCTTACATTTATATATATATATATATATATATATATATATATATATACATGGGATAACGATATATACATTTTTATATATCAAAAACAATTTTGGAAGATGTATGACAAAGTAGAAAATGGTTTCATGTGACACGTTTAATGTGTTGATAATTAATGTTTAATTAATGTTTAATAAATACAAAACAACAAGCCAAAACTTGACGGAGGAATTTACTCTCTCACCTATTCCCCAAAAGAATATATTGGATAAACCTCAAAAAACAAAGTAAAAGATTATATAAACACAAAAGAGACATTTTTAAAAAAAAAAACAACACATTAAACGAATTAGTTGTTGAAATTTTGGCATGAATATATCTACTCTAATTCAAAGAGAAGACAATTCATTAAGACGAAAATGTCTAGAAAGTTCTTTAATCGATCGGTCAGCCACAGCAAATTTACGTCCAGGTTCTAACAACGTTTCAGTATTCTTGACAGATTTTCTGTTATCACAATATGGGGTATTTAAAAACCAATATGATAGAAAGAAAAAGAAAAAAAATATAGATGAATTTGGCTAGAATGCAAAAAATTATTTCAAAAAATTTTGAAACTACCAGCATCTCTCGTTCATGCACATGTGTAGTCACAGCAACGTCAACAAACCCGTCTGGTGAAGTCCTAACGGATGAAACGCGTCACAAATAATTTTTTTCCGTTCAATATATGACTATGTATCTGTGTATATGTCATTCATGTAAATTTACATAAATAGCTTCATTTCTATTTGTATTGCTGTATGTCAATGTGTCTCATTTACACAAACACACACACACATACACATACACATATATATTAATGCATGTTTCCTTAAATAATATAGACAAATTTTGTCTATTTATTTTAAGTAAGTTCTTTTCATATTGTCTGATAAGCGTAATAACATTATCGCTGAAAGACGAAAGGAAATCACCATATTGATACATGTTTTTTAATCCTATCTAAGCTCCCGGCTTACATAAGCCACTATCAAAGATGACAATTTCAATAAATCAAACAACGGACGAAACAACAATGATAGTCCGCCCTTGTTGCATGAAAATTTGTATATGTATAAAATCAACTATATATATATATATATATATATATATATATATATATATATATAAAAAATTCATCGAGTCTAGAAGAAACCTCAACAGAATGCAGAAAGCACTGGACAGCCGTTTCCTCCTATATCTGGTACTCATCATGAATTAATTATAAGTATCTCAAATCCTCCTAATTTCTATCATTTGTATATCCTTGCTTGAACCGAGTTCTAATGCTCTGGATGGAGCGGCTCAGGGATAGTAGTCGTGGCTCGTGGGGACACAGTCCTATGAGTAAAAGAGAAACTCGGATGAGTTCCACCACGGAATATGTGATCAAGCAGCGTTATATCGAGTCTGATTCGCTACCTCTTCGTCACCGAGGCCCGTTGGTATGGCATTTGCCTCCTATTATAACGGTTCGGGTTTCAATTCTCGATAGTGGATGCGCACTGCTGATGTGTCCCAAATATAAGACGAAACGGCCGTCCACTGCTTTCTGCATTCTGTTGAGGTTTCTTTCAGACTCAATGAATTACTTAATTATAATTATCTCAAATCCTCCTAATTATATATATATATATATATATATATATATATATATATATATATATATATATTATGTTTTTTTTTCTATCATGATATGGATTCATGGTTTTCCCTAATTGATTAGTTCAAAGTGATCATCATCAACCTTAACTGATTCTCGATATGACCCAGGGAAGTGGTATGGTTTCATGAAATGGTATTTATGATGTATTCGCTCTCAATGATCATCTGCTGCCTCTCTCGATCGGCCATAAGACTAACGGAAGCCACAATTCATTCAAAGTGAGACTAAATTCCATTAACTCATTGGTCAATGGGACAGTAGGCAAGAATATGGATTTCTGACCTTTTCTCGACAGGGATTCAAACTACATTTGGCTAAACGTCGCGGCACCGATCTCCCCGTCGCGCTTTCATCTCTACTCAACTAGTGTGACCATTCGTTACACTAATATGGATCCAGTATAACCATGTTTGTCCGCTTATAAGAATATGTTTAAATTAATTCCATTTGCATACTTAAGTATTCAAAAGTTAAAAATTTAAACATGTTAAATTAGTGACGTAGTAAATAAATAACGAAACTTTGACTGGTGACGTGATAAATAAATAACGGAAACCTTTAATTGGTGACGTGATAAATAAATAACGAAACCTTAATTGGTGACGTGATAAATAAATAACGAAACCTTAATTGGTGACGTGCTAAATAAATAACGAAACCTCAATTAGTGACGTGCTAAATAAATAACGAAACCTTAATTGGTGACGTAAGAAAATAAATAACGAAATCTTTAATTGGTGATGTGATAAATAAATAACGAAACCTTAATTAGTGACCTAGTAAAAAATAGCGATACCTTAATTGCTGATAACGAAAAATTAATCGGTGACGTAATAAATGACAAAAACCTCAATTGTTGACGTAGTATTTATTGAGACACATCGTTAGGGTCTTTTTTTCTTTCAGTTTTAATGTTATAGAAACAAATTTACAAAGATGTATTAAAGAAATATGAATAAATATTTAATAGATTAATATAAAAGTCTGTATGAAGCTTACATTTTATCGAGAATTCAATAAAGAATATTTAATGATTGACTCGGTTTCCAAATTAAATTTCCTAATTTCTGTTTTTCTTTTACTTTTTATAACGCCTTTTTATTCTTTGGATAGAGATTGATTGTATCTTAAACGTGGAATATGGTTAAAACATAATCAGCAAAATAATTATTTAGTAACAAAGCGAAACTGCATGAGGTTCGACTGACTAAGTAGCCACTCAATAATTTTCGTATTAATAAAAGAATTTCTATTTCTCTCATTTTCCTTATAGCAATTTGTATGATAAACGTTGTTTATGGTCGCTGCAGATTTGCAATTAATATCTTAAATATCGCCTCGTTTTTTCGAACTAATATCGTCTACATCAAGTTGCTGCTTGCCATCCTTATCTGGTTGGATAATTAAAATGGTTGCAAATTGAGAAGCTAACATTTCCATGTCAACACAATATCTAATGGACCAGTTAGCGGAACTAAATTTTAACTTGTGAAGGAAATGGTTAACAGGATCGAAACACATTTGTAGCGTTTTCTAAATGAATTGCTACAATATTTACATTGTTCAGACTATTCTCTTCGTCTTTGTTTTCATATTCACGACGTTTCAACCGCTATACTCTCCGGTCTTCTCTATGTGATATATATTGGACTAAATAAAGAGTTCGGTTCGAAATTCCAACAATATTTGTACATAGATTTATATAATCACATATGTGCCATTTTATTTTGTTCCACTATTTTCTGATATGTAACACACCCATTAACTGATGACCCTGACGTGATAAATAACGAAACCTTAATTAGTGACGTGATAAATAAATAACGAAAACCTTAATTGGTGACGTGATAAATAAATAACGAAACCTCAATTAGTGACGTAGTAAAAAAATAACGAAACCTTAATTAGTGACGTGATAAATAAATAACGAAAACCCTAATTGGTGATGTGGTAAATAAATGACGAAACCTTAATTAGTGACGTGGTAAATAAATAACGAAAACCCTAATTGGTGACGCGGTAAATAAATAACGAAATCTTAATTAGTGACGTGGTAAATAAATAACGAAACCTCAATTAGTGACGTGGTAAATAAATAACGAAACCTTAATTAGTGACGTGGTAAATAAATAACGAAAACCTTAATTAGTGACGTGGTAAATAAATAACGAAACCTCAATTAGTGACGTGGTAAATAAATAACGAAACCTTAATTAGTGACGTGGTAAATAAATAACGAAATCTTAATTAGTGACGTGGTAAATAAATAACGAAATCTTAATTAGTGACGTGGTAAATAAATAACGAAATCTTAATTAGTGACGTGGTAAATAAATAACGAAACCTTAATTGGTGACGTGGTAAATAAATAACGAAACCTCAATTAGTGACGTGCTAAATAAATAACGAAACCTTAATTAGTGACGTGCTAAATAAATAAAGAAAACCTTAATTAGTGACGTGATAAATAAATAACGAAAACCTTAATTAGTGACGTGCTAAATAAATAACGAAACCTCAATTAGTGACGTGGTAAAATAAATATCAAACCTTAATTGGTAAATAAATAAATCGAAACCTTAATTAGTGACGTGGTAAATAAATAACGAAATCTTAATTAGTGACGTGGTAAATAAATAACGAAATCTTAATTAGTGACGTGGTAAATAAATAACGAAATCTTAATTAGTGACGTGGTAAATAAATAACGAAACCTCAATTAGTGACGTGGTAAATAAATAACGAAACCTTTAATTGGTGACGTAGTAAATGATAAAAACTTCAACTGGTGACCAAAACGCGAAAAATAACGAAATAATAAGTACAGACTTTTCTGACGTGTCAATCAACAATATAGTTTTATCAAGTATATTTCATAACAAAGTTCTATTATTTTTGTGGGGTGGTTGGGTCCTCCTAACATCTCTTGTGTTTAGTTTGAACGTTTTGTTATACTTTAGCTTCGTTTTCTAAGTTCATCCCCTCCTCATTCATTTCATGAGCATATATTTTTATATATTAAAAAAATGGAAAGAACAGACTTTTGAATTATTTGTGCAAATTGAAAGTTTATATCGTGTTTTTTTAAAGGTTCCCTGTATATTTGTGCTATTGTAGTATATGTATTATTGAATGGTGAGGTTTTTGTGGTGAATGAACACATTGTAATGAATGAATG